AGTACAGTTAAGAATTCTGTCCAAAAGTCTAGCCGTCAGCTTAAGCTAAAAGTGGCTATAGCAGAGCTCTTAATCTTCCTCAAAGACCTCCACTGCACCTTCTTTCTCAATCACTGTGGACAGCACCACCATCCTGCCTGTCACTCTGGCCCATAATGTGGGCATCATCTTCGACTCAGGTATCCAAGTCCTCATATCCAGGCTATGTCTAAATCTTGAAGATTCTTTCTGCATCACATAGGGTTTGTCTAAACAGCAAATTAGCGCATGGCAAATCTACAGTACTCCAGCATGTGTGCACTAACTGTCCATGCGGATCTTGCTGCTGCGCCCTGAAAGTTCCCCAGTATGATTTGCATACTGCTGTTTCAAACTTTAGGGCACAGTAGCAGAATCTACATGGACAGTTAGCGTGCAGCATGTAAGTGCACTGCAGATTTACGCCACAGCTTGCCTCACACTTATGCTTCGTTTAGACATGCCCTTAAACTGTAAGCACTTTGGAGCAGGAACCGTCTTTTTGTTCTGTTTGTATGGAGCCGAGCATGTGGATCTTGGCCCCTGAGTAGGGCTGGTAGGCATTATGGTAATACAAATAAATGATGATAATAAACAGGTGGAGCTCTAGCTAATACCAAATATCACTGCTGTCACAGCAGATTGTGGAAGACGTGAAACTATATTTAGCGTGCAGAAAAGTGTATAAAGATTTTACAAGCTCTCCTGAAACCACTGAATATGTACTGAACACAGCTCAGTCATGCTTCCACTGCTGCTACCCATGCTACTGTGGCTACAATGCTATTTATACTCCTGGTACTCAATGAGTGCTAGCACAAGTATGTGTATGTGAGCAGGGATATTGCATCCCTAGCTCATAGTGTAGGCACAGTCTTACTTATGGAGCACTTGTTTCCTATTTACCCGTTGGGGATAATGTAGAATTTTGATGATTATGACTTCTATTATACAAGCATAGGAAATACCAGATTTAAGGTTGCCTGTTCAACCTTAATTCTTACCCTGTGTGCATCGGTCCTGTGCACTGAATTAGGCAGGTATCCTGAGGGGGGAGGGGGGAATAGTATGTAGTCATATAATTAAAAACTGTCCTAATGCGAAGGTACATGGTGGCTGAATTAAGGTTACAATACTCTTTTACTCTTGAGAATTCTGTTGTACTTAAATTAACAGTATATTATCTAGAAACTCAGGGGTGTCTTTTTGTTATAAATTGTCCTTTATTATTTTCACTGGGGTAAAAAAAATCCTGCATGCTGAGTATATCTCATAATAGAGACCACAGATTTCTAAGTTATTGTGTTCTGAAGACTATAACAGACTGACCAGAAAAACCAGTTTGGTAAGTTAGTATGTTCTTTTTAGTCCAGTAGATGCTGTCTATAATTATGAATACCTTTTGATTGCCTGATCATAGCAAAGGTAAGTGTAACTGTACATAGGCTGGCTAAGGACTATTTTTGGAGGTATACTTTACCACACCACTACAACATCCCTTTGTTGTATAACTTCATTTTGCCTTTACTGTTTCTCCAGCACATTAATGTAATTCTTTTCCTAGTTAGCAGCAAAACTGTAGAGAAGATAATAAACTATATTTTGAGTGGGAAATTAATAATACGGTAGAACCTCCGAGTTACAGACACCTCTGGAATGGAGGTTGTCCATAACTCTGAAATGTTCGTAAATCCGAACAAAGCGCAGTTTGGGCTCCAGCAGCTGACACTCCAGGCCAGGCTCCAGCAGCAGCTCTGCTCCCTCCTCAGCACTGGCAGCTTCCTTGCAGGCAGCTTCTTTTGGACTGAGTTTGTACCTTGTCCCCTTCCCGGCCGGAGGGAGGGGATAAAAACAGCCCATCCCCTTCTTGACCGGCGGGGGGAGTAAAAAACGTGCATCCTTCTCCCGGCCGGTGGGGTGGGTGTGTGAAAGCAGCACAGACCCCAGCGCTGCTCCTGCTCTGCCAACTCCAGCTGCCTGGGGCTGGCAGCCCCAATGTCATCACCTCCTAGCTGTAAGTAGCTGCCCCGTACGTAGGGACATGCAGCCCAGATGTGCCTACTTTTAAGATGCAATACAGGCACAGTACAGTACAGTATTTGCTTTTTCTTTCTTTCTTTGGTCCCCACTGCTCCCTAATTGGTTACTTCCGGTTTCACATGGTGTCCGGTTGTAACTCTGGTGTTCGTATCTTTGAGGTTCTGCTGAATCAATATAAGCTAGCACATGTTTACAGCACACTGCTGAAGTAAGGGTTAGTGCTAGCAGTAATTACTTGAGTTAATTAATACCAGACCTGATCACTCATTTTTCATTGCATTGTTGTTGTTTGGGGGTTTTTTTTGCTGGAAAATGTTGATTCATCAGAACTGAAACTGTTTGCAAAACAGTTAATTGGTTTTGACAAATCTGACCTGAAATTTTTGGGGGTAATAAGCTTAATTTTTCTGAATTTAATTTTTCTGAGTTTTTATTTTGAAGTTTATTAAATTTAGACTTAAAGCTTAAAAAAAGGAAGAAGATCAAAACCAAAATGAAATGTTTAGAAATTGTTTTGATTGACCCAGAGCAAATTTTTTTTCAGATTTTTGATTTGCAAAAATTGTCAAGATTTTGACTTTTCATCCCAATTTGAGATGGGAAAATGTTTTGATATCTTGAAAATGTTCATGGGACAGGAAAACCATCTTCTCCTCAGCTCTATTTAATACTCTGATTAAAGTGCCTCAATGTCTCCTGTTTGCTAACACACCTGTTCCCTTATGTGTTTGTTTCCTCATTGATAAGTACAAATTGCAAAGCAAATGATAAGCTAGGTACTGAATCAGTATCAACATACCCATACATATATACAAGAGATTAGATGGCAAAGATAATTCTATGAACTATGGTTCTGTTTTTCTCTAAGCATAAAATTCAGCCCCTGATACTCTTAGAATAATCCTGCTTTTAAACAGCACTTTATATATTTAACTCTTAAAATCAATGCAGTAACGTTCACCAGTAATGTAGGAACAATTTTTAGATTTTTAATTTTTCTATTTTGTATTTTACATCTGGGCTGTATTTACTGTTTGATGTGCATATAATGTCCAGTAATGTTAATGGGAGTAATATCTGCATTGGGGAGAAGTGGCCCCAGCACCTTTGTTGTGTATGGAAGAATTGCAAAGCACGCATTTGGATTTTCTAAACAAAATAGCTACCTTTTAATTAACACAGAAAAAGTATTCCACCAGTAACAGTCACCAAAACAGTAGTCTAAACAGCTTCCAGAAGATGCTCACTCTAGCAGTTCCCAGCTATCCTGCACAGATTTGTCTCCAGACAAGCTGGAATAATTCACTGGAAACAGCTGAACACTCAGAAGTTATAAAATTTCGCCTATGTTTGACCTCAAACACAGTAGGAGCACAACAGTTGCATAGGGACAAATTCAGCCCTGGTGTATGCAAGAAAAGCTCCATTGGAGTCACATACAGCAGGGCTACATTTTGGCACAATGGAGCTGAATTTAGCCTTTGTGCATACGTGACTGACTTCATTAACTCTTTACTGCTAGGTTAAAATATTATACAAATCATATACCTGTAAATGCCATTACTAGGCAATGAGACAAGCAGACAAAGTGGTGATAGGTACATGCTACTTCTGCAGACTACAGTAAAACACAACGCAGTGGTGCATTGAAGCCTCTGAACCACATGTCCTGTGCTGGATTTTCTAAATGTAGAAAAAATTAATGTTTGCTTTGGTATGGGTGCTTTGAAAAGTTAAAGCTGGTAACATATGAAGCTGAAGTATTGAGACTTCCCCATAGAGAAGGAAAGGCTTTTGGGCAAATAATAGAGTATTTCTGTGGCACCACAATAAATTAGCTGAGTGTTCCCAAATAATTTTTATAAAGCTTAGCTCATCCAGAAACAATACCAAGTGACTTAGGTGACCAAAAATATGATTCAATGGAGGAATAATAAATAGTGAAAGGGCACAGGGAGAGATTCTGTGCTGCACTTCATAGATGCAGGACAGAACTCACAGATCAGTGGAGGTTAAGGTAGCTCTAAGTCATCTTTGCATCCTCTTGACCCTGGGCTACTCTGGGGACTGGAGTAGCCTCTGGCGTAATTTAGACAGCTCCATGGAACAGTCTAAATTATGGTGAGTTTCCCAGTTGACCTATGGGCCCTACTGCTGCCCAAAATCTCCTCCCCACTCACTTCACATTCATCCCATTCCTGACATGTCCTCTACATGAGGGCTTTCAAGGGGATCCTCGAAGGACAACTTGTGGCAGTCTACATCAGTTCTTGAACTGGGGAAGTCCTCCTCTGGAGCAATCCAAGGCTTTTAGGGCCCCTTTACCTTGCATAAAGTGGCTGGAGTGAAGGAGGATCTTATCGGTAGTGAACACTTCATGAACCAAGAACAGGCTAAAATTTGTTTTCACAAGCTATTCCTCAAACAATTACAAATGACATGTTCATAAAAATCTATTTATGGATAATTTTCAAACAGAAAATAGAGCTAAGTTTTTCAGATAAACTATCCACAATGAATAATTTGAAAAGTTCTAGATGTAGTGCTATATGGCTTATCTCAAACTTTTCTGTAGTTACAAGAAAGGAATGTTTCTATGCAAAACTTCACTTTTATATTTAGGATGATCATATGAAGCAGAAGTTGCAATGAATGCTGGATAATGCCTAAACAGTTAAGTGAGAAACTAGGTAGGTGAGGTTATATCTTTTATTGGAGAAGCTTTCATTAATGAAAGAGACAAGCTTTTGAGCTTGTACAGAGATTTTCTTCAGGTCTGTGTAAACTCAAAAGCTCATCTCTTTCACCAACAGAAGTTGGAGCAATAAAAGATATTAACCTCACCTACTCTGTCTCTCTAACAACCAGGGGCTAACAGCTACAATAACACTGCAAATAAATAGTTACATCATTTTAAAGATTTTATTTTTCTCTATTTAAAGTCTAGGGACTCTATCCAGTTGAATGACCTGAAGGCGGAAGTGTCGCCACGGATTTCAGCAGAAGATCTGATTGACTTGTGTGAGCTGACGGGACCTAGTCACTTCAAAACGCCTACAAAGAAAACCAAATCTAGCAAGCCAAAACTGCTTGTAGTTGACATCCGTAATAGCGAAGAGTATCCTTCATATTGGCTGATTCACCACTACTCCTGCCTATTTTAATTGAGCATGATAAATAATGTAAATAGCGCTACAGATATGCAGCAGAGAGTCTTAAGGTAGGGTTGATAGTGGAAACTTTCTCTGTGGAAAAGAGGGCAAAGAAGTTTCCCTATAAGTTAGTCTCTCTCTTGCTCCTCAGGCTGGATCCTCAATCCCAATGAGATCACTTTGTGCCACTGGAGCAGCACACAGTGACGTTAAAGCTGCCAGCAGCACCTGAGGATTCGCCTGACATGATGGAATCTTGGACTGGAGTAAAGCTGACATAGCTGGTTTTACGCCAGTAGCTCTCTGCTCCACTCGTTCCCCTCCACTGGTGCAATGGGTGTGTCAGGAGAGGGGATGAGCTTTTGGGGGCTAGAGGGGAAGCGGAAGGGTTGGTATATGATGTGTTCCGCCAATCCCCACCTAGAAAAAAATTCCTAAGGAGAGTATTGTAATTGGCATGACTTAAAGTTGCCCCGTGGCTGCTCTAACTTATGCAGGGAGGCTTGTTCAGCTACCCAGCTGACTCGCGATCAGGGAAGACATAAAGGCAGCCTACAGCCACCTTTTTCTCAGTGCAGCTCCGGATTGTACCCAATATATTTTTCATTACATCCTTCAAACATGGCTTTTAATTTAACATATACAACTTTGAGGATTTTTTTGTTTGGCTTCTTTATTTTTATTTTTTTTCAATTATGTGATTCTTTCAGCAAGGAGCATATCTCTGTCAGCAGTCTCCATCTAAAAGTGGGATAGATCACAACACATTATTAGGTGAGTCTCTTAATGTCCTAGGCAGCATTTTAAAGTATAGTTATTTATTTGTAATTACTTATTTACCACTTTATAAAAAGTTCCTTTCATAACAGTAAAGCTGGTGCAGATTATTGCTTTTGAAGGATATGTACCTAATTTTTCTAGGTAACAGGCTGTAATGGCTCACTTAAAGGGTCAGGTCCCAAGTTCCTGCTTCTGTACACCAGCAAACAGATCACAGTAACGTGGCGTGTCACAAAATGTTAGTGCAAATTTTATTGCAGTTTAGACATTCACAGAATTAATACATATTGCAAGTATATATTCTGTACTATGCAAAATGTACCATGCTGTATGCATCTGAGAAAAGAGCTGTGAATTCTAAACTATAGAATACCTATATAAGCTTTCTTTTAAGAAAGTATGGTGATCTAGAAGAGTAGGATTGCTAGAAAGTGTCCCATGTTTATTTTTCTTTAAACAAAGTTTCCATTCAGTAATGGATCAGTATTAACTATTTAGGGTTCAGATATGACTTGGATGATTTTTACACTGAGCTAACGTAGGTATCAAATATCTTAATCTTTTTAAATCTTTGTTACTGGCTTTTTCAGGAGTTTACAGCTTGATAAATCCTTTCTTTTAAGGGGAATGGTAAACTTAGGAAGAAGCAGTGATTAAAGTATTTTCCTCAATGTTTAATATTTGACACTGTTTACTGCAAAACAGAGCATGGTAGAATTGGGAGACTATTCCAAATCGTAACTGGAAAGATGCCAAAACTTGAACGCTCAACATGATCTGCTGTCTAGATAAAATAAAGAGGATCAAAGCATGGAAGTGTAATTTTTTCCTTGTGTTTATTAATTTCATGCATCAGTTGAGTTTCAAGTTAGTCACAGGCTCAGGTATCTGAATCATTTGACTCATCATTGTCTGGACTTCAGTGACTTTTTTCCCTCACAGAATTAAGGTTAATTTTTAAGCTATATTCATAGTAAGGGTCAAAGTAGGAAAGACTTCTAATTTGGTCCTCTTTTCTATCTACCATGTTATTTAGAAGGCCAGCAGAAACTTGAGCTATTATACAGGAAATAGACTCTTTATCATAAAGAATGTAGCTATTATTCTCATAATAAATCCTCATCAGAATTTCACTAAGTAGTTCTCTTATTAGCAGGCTCACCATTCCGAGATCCTGGACTGTCTTTCTGGTCAGTCTGAGGCATATTAATGGGTGGTTCCTTGTGGGAAGCTACGGTTATTCATGCTGTACCTATTTTGTGGATAAATAGCAGACAGTCTCCAGGGTTGTAAGAAGTGAGGAGTCTCCTTGCTGAAAAGTGAGCTTGTACTGGTAATAAAATAATCCATTGAGTTAGTTGACCTGTTATCTGGGAATGTCCCAATATCTCCCAGAGAATATACTATACATAAGAAGTTGACGACTGTCAGATATTCTGAACATGTAGGTGAAATCCTAAGAAGAATGCATCACCTATGCTATTGTATATCCACTCAGGGATGGGAGGTACTCAGCCTTCAAACATTTTCATCTCAATGCAAAAAAGTCTGTATAGTATCACTGTATTTCCTGTTATATATATTACCTATCTTCAGAAAAATGCTATACCGCTTTGTGAGTTTTATAAGAGAATATCTCAATATGCACAATTATAAGAGAATCATTTTGTAATTTATTTTAATATTTCACTCATATGATGCCCTTTCATACACAACTTTATTGTTTTACAAGAAAGAGAGAGCAGAATAGCTTTTATTGTGATTTGGTGGGAAACAGAGGACTTTCAACAGGTTTCTTGTTCATGACATTTTTTAAACGGTGTCCAGCATAACTTCACTATAAGGCTGTCCTTGGATACTAAGGAATTGCTATATTGTAATGAAGTACATATTGCGAGCATAAGATCTAGTGACCCCTTTCTTCCAAGAGAAAACTTTGTAATGAAAAGGTAATGTACTCCGAGCATTTTCTATTGCAGTAGAAAGCCAGCAGTTCTGTCGTAGCCTCATTTCATTAAACATGTTAGCAGAAATACTGGCAGTGTTCCATTCCTTTTATGAAGGTCCTAGCTAAGTACTTTATGGTCTTTCAGTCTTTCACAAAATCTCTGCCTTTGTAATCAGCTAAGGACTGGAATGGTTAAGATGGTCACTTAAGATTAGAAAGAATACAAACCACAAGAAAAAACAGTCTGCATAGTTAGATACCAATGTCATTACTCTAAGTAAATGTATTTTATTCTATTTAAAGGTTAGGTCAGTTGTTTCATTGAGCAGCTTAGCATACTCAATATGGGCAAAGTCATGTTCTATCTAAAAGAACTGTCCTATTTTTAAACTTTTATCTTACTTAGTACTATTTACAATGGAGCTGTGAATAAGAACTGTTTGTACAGTTTGTGGTGGGGGCGAGATTCTTCCTTCCTTTATTAGACATGAATAAACGACAGTAATTAGTGATATTGGGTTCTCGCTCTTATTAATCTTTCAAACGTTTTTTTTGTTATGCTTTCCCATCATGCAACAGCGATAGTCATCAAACTGGAACTGTTCACACTAATCACATTTAAGAAAGGCATGCTAGTATTAATCTTAAAAGATTAACTCTTAGCTCCTTCCAATGCGACTTCTTGTAATTAATGCCTGCAGTCTACTAGCCCTCTACGAGTACTGCCATAAATAGTGACTAATCTCCATACTTGGAACTGGTATGCTTTTGAAGCAAATTCTACTTTTACTTCCCTGCTCCCCCAAACCTACTCCTGTACCCTAGGAAAAAAAAGATGTCTGTCATGCTCACATGCACAGTCATTTCTGTTATAAATTTTCTGATAATTTTATTCAAACTAGTTGAAGAAGGGCCCAGTGTTGTGTTTTTTCTCTTAATTGGTACCCAAAAGATTTCACACAGGTTTTCATGTTCATTAATTGTTCATAAAATCTTATTAGACTTTCGTACCTTGGGAGTAGGACATTTAGGTCTGGATATATAAAAGGAGTTTGTTGTTGTGACTTTGGAGCAGGAGGACTGGATTATGGGTGTCCTACATCCTGGGTGAAAGCTCTAACCACCAGGCTCTAAAGTCATTGCTGGGGTTTCGCTCTCTGGACCAAATAACTCTTGGATTATTTATCCAAAGTGGAACAGCTTTAAGAGAAGAGATTGAGAGAGAGACAGAACACAGCATGATGTTGGCCTTCATGATGGAAGATGATGCTGATGACAGTATTATGGCTTATGAGTACTGTACAGTTGTGGCTAAACAGACCAATGCGCAAGTGGCAGTCCTTTCCACATGAAGTGCATAGCTTGATGCCGAGGAAGGGATTACAGTCTGTGCCTGCTGAATCTGCCACTGTTTACAACTCGGCCTCTGTGCCTCAACATCCATACGACAGTTTACCTCGTATAGGGTAACCCCATCATTGACTACTGTTTGCCAGTGTGGTCTGTCAGTTGCTGATGACTCACAGCTGTTAGTCTCAATGTCACACTGTTTCAAGTTATGCTTCAGTGTGTCTTTTGAAGCATTTCTTTTGGCCACCTCCTATGTGATTGCCCACTCTCCGTTTGCCATATAGCAACTGCTTTGACTTTCTGGTGTCGTCCATCCTCAGCACATGACCAGCCCAGCATAACTGTGTTGTGATAAGCCTGACTTCAATCCCTGTGGAGTAACTACATTCTAGAACTTCATTATTGGTAACTTTATCCTGCCATTTGATGCAGAGTCTGGAATGCAGATGTTGTAAATGGAATTTATCTAGAAACTTAATATGATGCCTGTAGCGGGTCCAGGTCTCACACCCATACAATAAGTTGGACAGCACAACTGATTTATAGACTTGGTTTGAAGTTTAATACCATGTTGCCACCAAACTCTTCCTGATAGTCAGCCAAATGATGACCTGGTTTTGTTGATATGATTGGTCAGTTCCTTGTCTATACTAACATAAATCTACAATATACTACTATGATAGTAAAAGTCTGTAACAACATTTAGCAGTGTTTCTGATGGTGACTTTTTGATTTCATGTGGAGTTTCCCTGGTGCAGGTTGATACATGGCCTCTGTCTTTTTCAGAATATCAGCCTGTATCTTTTTGCACACTTTGCAGATCCATTCATATTCAATTGTGTCTAGAGCACAGTCATTGACACACAGCAGCTCATGAACAACTGCCCGAAGACCTTCGTGGAAGATTGCAGCCTGTTCCAGAGAATTGGAAACATATCCTGATACCAGCATTCAGGGCTCTTGTAGCATAATCAAGCATTGCTGTATAGAAGATAATAAACAAGAGTGGACCAATTATGCAGCCTGCTTAAAACCTTTAGTGACAGGAAATGGGTCAGACAGAACACCATCTACACAGACTTTTCCGAGCATTCCATCATGAAATAGCCTTAGAATGTTGGTGAATTTTTCTGGACAACCAAACTTATGTAATAATTGCCAAACCCACATCTATTGATGGTGTCAGATACTTCAGCCAGTTCAATAAAGACAGTGTAAAGGTCAGGTTGCTGTTCTCTGCATTTCTCCTCCATCTCATGGGCTACAAATATCTTGTCTTCCATTTCGTCTGTGGGCCTAAAATCACATTGCAACTCCAGTAACACACATTTAGTGATTTTGCATAGCAGACAATCAAAGAGTGTTCTAGTCAGAACCTTTCCAGTGATGGAGAGTAATGAGATACCGTGATAGTTGCCATTGTCGGACTTTTCACCTTTCTTCTGTATATGGTGACAAAGTAGAGTCTTTGAAGTCTTACAGTAAATCTTCATTGCTCCATATATTGAGAAATAGTCCATGTGTTCACCTCAGCAGGATTAGCCGCCATATTTGAATATTTCTGTAGGAATGCCATCAGATCTGGGAACTCTGTAGTTCTTCATAGTACTGATAGCAGTGCTGACTTAGTCAAGGGATGGGGCTGCATCCATGTTGTCATTAAAAGGTGGCTGATCCATTGCTCTTATTGGTGCATCGTCCGTGATGTTGGACAGTGTGTTCAAAAGATGACTGAAATGCTTGCGCCACCTCTGAAGGATTTCTCCTTTATCAGACATCAGTGTTAGGCCATCTGCACTCTTCAAAGAGACTGTAATGCTGTATTGGACCATATGCATCGGTTGTAGCGGCATAGAAGTCTTTGGGCTCCCGAGGGTCAGCATAGCCCTGGATTTCATCTGCCTTGGCATTCCATCATTGATCTTGCATGTTTCTGAGCTGAGATTGGATATCACAACACAGATTCCTATATGTTAAAACTGTGCCTACAGGGATACAAAAATGTGATTATACATCTCATGTTTTTTAGTGAGTAGCTGTTGAATTATTGCGTCATTCTCATCAAACCGATCTCGATGACATTTTGCTCATCAAGGTGACGAGAGCGGCTTGATATATGGTATTGCATAATGTTGCCCAGTCACTGTATGTTAGCACTAGAACATCCCATAGCCCAATAGTTAAGGCATTCATTCACCTGAGAGGTAGAAGATCCTGATTGAAATCCCTTCTCCCCCTCAGATGAAGTGTGGACTTGAACCAGGTTTCTTCCACATCCCAGATGAGTAGCCTAATCACTGGACTAAAAGTTTTATGTGGGAGGTTCTCCTTTTTCTCCCCAGCTGTTTTTCATGAACTCACCTGAGAAGACTGATCTGGCAGGCATGCTCAGATTGTACACCTCTACCCCGATATAACGCGGTCCTCGGGAGCCAAAAATCTTACCGTGTTATAAGTGAAAACGTGTTATATCCAGAGGTGAAAGTAAGCCGGTATGCCGTGCTGGACTGGACTGGATTGACTTCCCCGGCAGTGATTTAAAGGCCCCAGGGCTCCAGCCGCTGTGGGGAGCCCCGGGCCTTTTAAATCACCGCCGGAGCTCTGGGAGTGGGGCTCGGGCAGTGCTTTAAAGGGCCCGGGGCTCCCCGCAGCGGCCGGAGCCTCTGGCCCTTTAAATCCCTGCCTGAGCCCGGCTGCCGGAGCCCCAGCGCTCTGGCAGCCAGACTCGGGCGGGGATTTAAAGGGCCCAGAGCTCCCCTTTAAATCTGTTCTACAATGGTTAAATTGTATCTCCTTTCTTTAATTACAACTCCAACACCCTATCCAATGCCCCC